ACTCACTGCATGCTGTCCACTCACTGCATGCTGGCCACTCACTGCATGCTGGCCACTCACTGTATGCTGGCCACTCACTGTATGCTGGCCACTCACTGCATGCTGGCCACTCACTGCATGCTGGCCACTCACTGCATGCTGGCCACTCACTGCATGCTGGCCACGCACTGCATGCTGGCCATTCACTGCATGCTGGCCACTCACTGTATGCTGGCCACTCACTGTATGCTGGCCACTCACTGCATGCTGGCCACTCAATGCATGCTGGCCACTCACTGCATGCTGGCCACTCACTGCATGCTGGCCACTCACACCATGCTGGCCAATCACCGCATAATGGCCACTCACTGCATGCTGGCCACTCACACCATGCTGGCCACTCACTGCATGCTAGCCATTCACTGCATGCTGGCCACTCACTGCATGCTGGCCACTCACCGCATGCTGGCCACTCACTGCAATCTGGTCACTCACTGCAAGTTGACCACTCACTACATGCTGGCCACTCACTGCATGCTGGCCACTCACTGCACGTTGAGGACTAACTGCATGCTGACCACTCACTGCAAGTTGACCACTCACTGCATGCTGACCACTCACTGCATTCTGGCCACTTACTGCATGCTGGCCACTCACTGCATGCTGGCCACTCACTGCATGCTGGCCACTCACTGCATGCTGACCACTCACTGCAATCTGGCCACTCACTGCAAGTTGACCACTCACTGCATGCTGGCCACTCACTGCATGCTGGCCACTCACTGCATGCTGGGCACTCACCGCATGCTGGCCACTCACCGCATGCTGGCCACTCACTACATGCTGGCCACTCATTGCATGCTGGCCACTCACTGCATGCTGGCTACTCACTGCATGCTGTCCACTCACTGCACGTTGACCACTCACTGCATGGTGGCCACTCACTGCAAGTTGACCACTCACTGCATGCTGGCCACTCACTGCAAGCTGGCCACTCACTGCCTGTTGACCACTCACTGCATGCTGTCCACTCACTGCATGCTGGCCACTTACTGCATGCTGGCCACTCACTGCATGCTGGCCACTCACTGCATGCTGGCCACTCACTGCACGTTGACCACTCACTGCATGCTGGCCACTCACTGCATGCTGGCCACTTACTGCATGCTGGCCACTCACTGCATGCCAGCCACTCACTGCATGCTGGCCACTCACTGCATGCTGGCCACTCACTGCATGCTGGCCACGCACCTCATGCTGGCCACTCACTGCATGCTGGCCACTCACTGCATGCTGGCCACTCACTGCATGCTGGCCACTCACTGCATGCTGGCTACTCACTGCATGCTGGCCACGCACTTCCTGCTGACCACTCACTGCCTGCTGACCACTCACTGCCTGCTGACCACTCACTGCCTGCTGACCACTCACTGCCTGCTGACCACTCACTGCCTGCTGGCCACTCACTGCATGCTGGCCACTCACTGCTTGCTGACCACTCACTGCCTGCTGGCCACTCACTGCATGCTGGCCACTCACTGCCTGCTGACCACTCACTTCCTGCTGACCAGTCACTGCCTGCTGACCACTCACTGCCTGCTGACCACTCACTGCCTGCTGACCACTCACTGCCTGCTGGCCACTCACTGCATGCTGGCCACTCACTGCCTGCTGACCACTCACTGCCTGCTGGCCACTCATTGCATGCTGGCCACGCACTGCATGCTGAGGCTACGCACTGCATGCTGGCCACTCACTGCATGCTGGTCACTCACTGCATGCTGACCATTCACTGCATGCTGGCCACTCACTACATGCTGGTCACTCACTACATGCTTGTTTCTCACTGCATGCTGACCACTCACTACATGGTGGCCACTCACCGCATGCTGGCCACTCATTGCATGCTGGTTACTCACAACATGCTGGCCACTCACTGCATGCTGGCCACTCACTGCATGCTGGCCACTCACTGCATGCTGGTTACTCACAACATGCTGGCCACTCACTGCATGCTGGCTACTCACTGCATGCTGGTCACTCACTGCATGCTGGCCACGCACTGCATGCTGGCCACTCACTGCATGCTGGCCACGCACTGCATGCTGGCCACTCACTGCATGCTGGCCACTCACTGCATGCTGGCCACTCACTGCATGCTGGTTACTCACAACATGCTGGTCACTCACTGCATGCTGGTTACTCACAACATGCTGGCCACTCACTACATGCTGGCCATTCACTGCATTCTGGCCACTCACTGCATGCTGGCCACTCACTGCATGCTGGCCACTCACTGCATGCTGGCCACGCACTGCATGCTGGCCACTCACTACATGCTGGCCACTCACTGCATGCTGGCCACTCACTACATGCTGGCCACTCACTACATGCTGGCCACTCACTACATGCTGGCCACGCACTGCATGCTGGCCACTCACTGCATGCTGGCCACTCACTGCATGCTGGCAACGCACTGCATGATGGCCCCACGCACTGCATGCTGGCAACGCACTGCATACTTGCCTATGCACTGCATGCTGATCACTCACTGCATGCTGATCACTCACTGCATGCTGGCCACTCACTGCTTGATGACCACTCACTGCATGCTGGCCACTCACTACATGCTGGTCACTCACTACATGCTGATCACTCACTGCATGCTGGCCACTCACTGCTTGATGACCACTCACTGCATGCTGGCCACTCACTACATGCTGGTCACTCACTACATGCTGGTCACTCACTGTATGCTGGCCACTCACTACATGCTGGTCACTCACTACATGCTGGTCACTCACTGCATGCTGGCCACTCACTACATGCTGGTCACTCACTATATGCTGGTCACTCACTGCATGCTGGCCACTCACTACATGCTGGTCACTCACTACATGCTGGTCACTCACTACATGCTGGTCACTCACTGTATGCTGGCCACTCACTACATGCTGGTCCCTCACTACATGCTGGTCACTCACTGCATGCTGGCCACTCACTACATGCTGGCCACTCACTGCATGCTGGTCACTCACGGCATGCTGACCAATTTCAACAACCTGTCCTCACATCACCGACATCAACGTAAGATTATCTACCTTCCATGCAGTGAGAGGTTGTAATATTTATTAATGGTTCTGACTCCTTCGCCCTTTGTATTAAGTCCAACAGGCAATAACTGCACTAGACACTAGAGCAGCCCGGCCGTCCTAGACCAGCGGTGTGTTCTTAGAGAGACGGTCCACGTGACAGCGTCGGGAATATAATTAACCGTCTCTTTGATAAGCTGAGGTTTTGCTCGTGTGCAGCTGCTACCGGAGCACGACTGATCAACGTTGTACACACCTGGTTCTTGTATAATCAAACGGTTCTTGCGTCAAACGTTAGTGATTGACTTGTTGATGTCATTACCTTCTCTCGCTAGATATTGTGCCTAACGATTCTGATAACTAATCCATCATGAGTTATTATATACTTATAGATTATAATAAATCATTTGCATTCAAACTAGCAGTAAAGAGCCTAGACAATTAACATTAAGCCAGCATTCGAAAACAACTAGCGAAATCTTATCTGATACACGACCTTGTAGTTAGCTTACAGGATGACACGACCTTCTAGTAAGATTACAGGAAAACACTTCCCTGTAGACACATCACAGCGTAACACGCCTCCAAGTAATCTTACAAGGTAAAATGCTCATGGACAAACATCACAAGATAACAATCCACAGTAATAACTTTACATGATAACATTCATCACATAGTAATTCTGCAAGATAACATTCCCCCACATAGTAATCCTGCAAAATAACATTCCCCCACATAGTAATCCTGCAAAATAACATTCCCCACATAGTAATCCTGCAAAATAACATTCCCCACATAGTAATTCTGCAAAATAACATTCCCCACATAGTAATCCTGCAAAATAACATTCCCCACATAGTAATCCTGCAAAATAACATTCCCCAAATAGTAAACTTACAAGATAACATGGTCTAGTAGCACCCTTGAGAGATAATATGTCTCGAGCGTAACCAGCACAATGCCCCACTTGGGTATCAAGCTGCAATCTTTGTGGTAATGAGCCGGAGGGCAGGCGCCGAGAACTCCAACCGCCTCTCAGGGAATAATGCACATCTAACAACCTCTGGTTAAATTTTCCTAAACTTCATGTACTCGACTAAAAAGTTTCCTGCCAATAAATTCCAAATACTTTCATCCAGACAACTGATAGTTTCTTAATAAGTTGTCGATTTATAATTATCTGGAATTTTTTCTTTCAAAGTTTATTTTAATCTTCCTGCAATTCTTGCTACTGTTCTTAAGCTCTTGCCAGATCATAACAAGATACTGTAAACTGTTCTCTCTCTCTTTCTCTCTCTCTCTCTCTCTCTCTCTCTCTCTCTCTCTCTCTCTCTCTCTCTCTCTCTCTCTCTCTCTCTCTCTCTCTCTCTCTCTCTCTCTCTCTCTCTCTCTCTCTCTCTCTCTCTCTCTCTCTCTCTCTCTCTCTCTCATACTTTTGCTTTTATAATTAATTTTGTACACTATTTCTCCACAGATAAGGAGCTTTCCTTTCCAGCATCTCATGGTAGGCCTTATCCTATTGGCTTCTCTCCTGGAACTACAGCTTGGTTGGTCCGGCATTTCTACTTGACCAGAAGAAGTCTGCAACAAAAAAATGTCCAGTTATCACTTGAAGACGTCCACTTTTGTGCTGGCAATATTTACAGTACCTGCTGGGATAATATTGAGCAACTCTGGACCTCAACTCTGGACATACAATGTTGTCTGATTTTGCCTCTGGCACCTCTGCTTTTCTTTGACTCTGTTCGGCGTTTCCTTTCACATCATTCAATCAAAGATGTTGTTATTTTACTGTGCACCTCGCTCTCCAGTATTTTCCAGTTGTATATTATTTGACACCTCTCTCGTCTCCTTTTAAAGGGTACATTTTGAGAAACAACCCCAATAGTTTAGGTGCTTGGTTATGCTTGGTTTAGGGTTATGCGTGTTTCATATGTTCTCTGTATTCCCACTATTCCAGTACTCTCTCCTGCAATGAACATGGAAGTGAATATCGAGCAGTACTCCAGGCGGGACAACACAAATGATTTGAATAATATGAGTTTTGTGATGAGATCCCTGGATTTGGAGGTTCTTGTAATCCATACAACTGCAGGGGACATCCCGAGGACTACTGCAGGGGACATCCCGAGGACTACTGCAGGGGACATCCTGAGGACTACTGCAGGGGAAATCCCGAGGACTACTGCAGGTGACATCCTGAGGACTACTGCAGGCGACATCCTGAGGACTACTGCAGGGGACATCCTGAGGACTACTGCAGGGGACATCCTGAGGACTACTGCAGGCGACATCCTGAGGACTACTGCAGGGGACATCCTGAGGACTACTGCAGGTGACATCCCGAGGACTACTGCAGGCGACATCCCGAGGACTACTGCAGGCGACATCCTGAGGGCTACTGCAGGTGACATCCTGAGGACTACTGCAGGTGACATCCCGAGGACTACTGCAGGCGACATCCTGAGGACTACTGCAGGCGACATCCTGAGGGCTACTGCAGGTGACATCCTGAGGACTACTGCAGGGGACATCCTGAGGACTACTGCAGGGGACATCCTGAGGACTACTGCAGGCGACATCCCGAGGACTACTGCAGGCGACATCCTGAGGACTACTGCAGGGGACATCCTGAGGACTACTGCAGGCGACATCCCGAGGACTACTGCAGGCAACATCCTGAGGACTACTGCAGGCAACATCCTGTGGACTACTGCAGGCGACATCCAGAGGACTACTGCAGGCGACATCCCGAGGACTACTGCAGGAAACATCCTGAGGACTACTGCAGGCGACATCCCGAGGACTACTGCAGGCAACATCCTGAGGACTACTGCAGGCAACATCCTGAGGACTACTGCAGGCAACATCCCGAGGACTACTGCAGGCAACATCCTGAGGACTACTGCAGGCGACATCCTGAGGACTACGGCAGGTGACATCCTGAGGACTACTGCAGGCGACATCCTGAGGACTACGGCAGGTGACATCTTGAGGACTACTGCAGGTGACATCCTGAGGACTACTGCAGGCGACATCCTGAGGACTACTGCAGGCGACATCCTGAGGACTACGGCAAGTGACATCCTGAGGACTACTGCAGGTGACATCCTGAGGACTACTGCAGGCGACATCCCGAGGACTACTGCAGGCGACATCCTGAGGACTACTGCAGGCGACATCCCGAGTACTACTGCAGGCGACATCCCGAGGACTACTGCAGGCGACATCCCGAGGACTACTGCAGGCGACATCCCGAATACTACTGCAGGCGACATCCCGAGGACTACTGCAGGGGACATCCCGAGGACTACTGCAGGCGACATCCTGAGGACTACTGCAGGGGACATCCTGAGGACTACTGCAGGCGACATCCTGAGGACTACGGCAGGTGACATCCTGAGGACTACTGCAGGTGACATCCTGAGGACTACTGCAGGCGACATCCCGAGGACTACTGCAGGCGACATCCTGAGGACTACTGCAGGCGACATCCCGAGGACTACTGCAGGCGACATCCCGAGGACTACTGCAGGCGACATCCTGAGGACTACTGCAGGTGACATCCTGAGGACTACTGCATGTGACATCCCGAGGACTACTGCAGGTGACATCCTGAGGACTACTGCATGTGACATCCCGAGGACTACTGCATGTGACATCCCGAGGACTACTGCAGGCGACATCCCGAGGACTACTGCAGGCGACATCCTGAGGACTACTGCAGGCGACATCCCGAGGACTACTGCAGGCGACATCCCGAGGACCACTGCAGGCGACATCCTGAGGACTACTGCAGGCGACATCCCGAGGACTACTGCAGGCGACATCCTGAGGACTACTGCAGGCGACATCCCGAGGACTACTGCAGGCGACATCCCGAGGACTACTGCAGGCGACATTCTGAGGACTACTGCAGGCGACATCCAGAGGACTACTGCAGGCGACATCCCGAGGACCACTGCAGGCGACATCCCGAGGACTACTGCAGGCGACATCCCGAGGACTACTGCAGGCGACATCCTGAGGACTACTGCAGGCGACATCCTGAGGACTACTGCACGCGACATCCTGAGTACTACTGCAGGCGACATCCCGAGGACTACTGCAGGTGACATCCAGAGGACTACTGCATGTGACATCCCGAGGACTACTGCAGGCGACATCCTGAGGACTACTGCAGGCGACATCCTGAGGACTACTGCAGGTGACATCCTGAGGACTACTGCATGTGACATCCCGAGGACTACTGCAGGCGACATCCTGAGGACTACTGCAGGCGACATCCTGAGGACTACTGCAGGCCACATCCCGAGGACTACTGCAGGCGACATCCCGAGGACTACTGCATGTGACATCCTAAGGATTACTGCAGATGTCATCCTGATGACTACCGCAGGTGACATCCTGAGGACTACTGCAGGTGACATCCTGAGGACTACTGCTGGTGACATCCTGATGACTACTGCAGGTGACATCCTGAGGAGTACTGCTGGTGACATCCTGAGGACTACTGCAGGTGACATCCTGATGACTACTGCAGGTGACATCCTGAGGACTACTGCAGGCGACATCCTGAGGTCTACTGCAGGTGACATCCTGAGGACTACTGCAGGCAACATCCTGATGACTACTGCAGGCGACATCCTGAGGACTACTGCAGGCAACATCCTGAGGACTACTGCAGGCGACATCCTGAGGACTACGGCTGGTGACATCCTGAGGACTACTGCAGGTGGTGCCTTAAAGAGCACTAAAGACGACATGGTGGAGACTGATACAGGATTTGAGAATAATGCAGGCGACATCTTAAGAGCTTGTCTTTGAGCAACCCGTTCTCGCACTTTCGTATAGTCAATATTGACTTATTAAATACGTGCATATGTGACATTTTTAACATACTAGTTTACCTTGAAAAGCGTCATAGAAAACACCGACCTTACCTAACCTTCCTAATATGTTAAGATAAGCATCTTATTGCTTCGTAATTACAATTATTACTTAACCTATTATAGGTATAGGTTATACCTATAATACCTATATTATTATTATTATAATATTATAATTTTATTATAATACCTACCTATAATACCTATATTATAGGTATAGGTTACCTATATTATAGGTATAGGTTAAGTAATAATTATAATTACGAAGCAATAAGATGCTTATCTTAACATACTAAGAAGGTTAGGGAAGGTCGGTGTTTTCTATGAAGCTTTTCAAGGTAAACTAGTATGTTTAGTATGTCACATATGCACGTATTTAATGTCAATATTGACTGTAAGAATGTGCGAGAACGGGTTGCTTTGAGGGCAGAGGGCTACTGTGTTAGACATGCTCAGGGCTACTGTGTTAGACATGCTCAGGGCTACTGTGTTAGACATGCTCAGGGCTACTGTGTTAGACATGCTCAGGGCTACTGTGTTAGACATGCTCAGGGCTACTGTGTTAGACATGCTCAGGGCTACTGTGTTACACATGCTCGGGGCTACTTTGTTACACATGCTCAGGGCTACTGTGTTACACATGCTCAAGGCTACTATGTTACACACGCTCAGGGCTACTGTGTTACACACGCTCAGGGCTACTGTGTTACACACGCTCAGGGCTACTGTGTTACGCACGCTCAGGGCTACTGTGTTACACATGCTCAGGGCTACTGTGTAAGACATGCTCAGGGCTGCTGTGTTACACACGCTCAGGGCTACTGTGTTACACACGCTCAGGGCTACTGTGTTACGCACGCTCAGGGCTACTGTGTTACACATGCTCAGGGCTACTGTGTAAGACATGCTCAGGGCTGCTGTGTTACACACGCTCAGGGCTACTGTGTTACACACGCTCAGGGCTACTGTGTTACGCACGCTCAGGGCTACTGTGTTACACACGCTCGGGGCTACTGTGTTACACACGCTCGGGGCTACTGTGTTACACACGCTCGGGGCTACTGTGTTACACACGCTCGGGGCTACTGTGTTACACACGCTCAGGGCTACTGTGTTACACACGCTCAGGGCTACTGTGTTACACATGCTCAAGGCTACTATGTTACACACGCTCAGGGCCACTGTGTTACAAACGCTCAGGGCTACTGTGTTACACATGCTCAGGGCTACTGTGTTACACATGCTCAGGGCTACTGTGTTACACACGTTCGGGGCTACTGTGTTACACACGCTCAGGGCTACTGTGTTACACACGCTCAGGGCTACTGTGTTACACATGCTCAAGGCTACTATGTTACTCACGCTCAGGGCTACTGTGTTACACACGCTCAGGGCTACTGTGTTACGCACGCTCAGGGCTACTGTGTTACACATGCTCAGGGCTACTGTTTTACACATGCTCAGGGCTACTGTGTTACACACGCTCAGGGCTACTATGTTAGACATGCTCAGGGCTACTGTGTTACACATGCTCAGGGCTACTATGTTAGACATGCTCAGGGCTACTGTGTTAGACATGCTCGGGGCTACTGTGTTACACATGCTCGGGGCTTCTGTGTTAGACATGCTCAGGGCTACTGTGTTACACATGCTCGGGGCTACTGTGTTACACATGCTCAGGGCTACTGTGTTAGACATGCTCAGGGCTACTGTGTTACACATGGTCGGGGCTACTGTGTTAGACATGCTCGGGGCTACTGTGTTAGACATGCTCAGGGCTACTGTGTTACACATGCTCGGGGCTACTGTGTTAGACATGCTCAGGGCTACTGTGTTACACATGCTCAGGGCTACTGTGTTACACATGCTCGGGGCTACTGTGTTACACATGCTCAACGTTACTGAGGAAGACATACACACTTCTGCTGAGGACGACATACTCAGGGCTGCTGAGGAAGACATACTCAGGGCTGCTGAGGAAGACATACTCAGGGCTGCTGAGGAAGACATGCTCTGGGCTGCTGAGGAAGACATGCACAGGGCTGCTGAGGAAGACATACTCAGGGCTGCTGAGGAAGACATACTCAGGGCTGCTGAGGAAGACATACTCAGGGCAACTGTGTTAGACATGCTCAGGGCTACTGTGTTAGACATGCTCAGGGCTACTGTGTTAGACATGCTCAGGGCTACTGTGTTAGACATGCTCAGGGCTACTGTGTTACACATGCTCGGGGCTACTTTGTTACACATGCTCAGGGCTACTGTGTTACACATGCTCAAGGCTACTATGTTACACACGCTCAGGGCTACTATGTTACACACGCTCAGGGCTACTGTGTTACACACGCTCAGGGCTACTGTGTTACACACGCTCAGGGCTACTGTGTTAGACATGCTCAGGGCTACTGTGTTACACATGCTCAGGGCTACTGTGTTACACATGCTCGGGGCTACTGTGTTACACAAGCTCAACGTTACTGAGGAAGACATACACACTTCTGCTGAGGACGACATACTCAGGGCTGCTGAGGAAGACATACTCAGGGTTGCTGAGGAAGACATACTCAGGGCTGCTGAGGAAGACATGCTCTGGGCTGCTGAGGAAGACATACTCAGGGCAACTGTGTTAGACATGCTCAGGGCTACTGTGTTAGACATGCTCAGGGCTACTGTGTTAGACATGCTCAGGGCTACTGTGTTAGACATGCTCAGGGCTACTGTGTTAGACATGCTCAGGGCTACTGTGTTAGACATGCTCGGGGCTACTGTGTTACACAAGCTCAACGTTACTGAGGAAGACATACACACTTCTGCTGAGGACGACATACTCAGGGCTGCTGAGGAAGACATACTCAGGGTTGCTGAGGAAGACATGCACAGGGCTGCTGAGGAAGACATACTCAGGGCTGCTGAGGAAGACATACTCAGGGCTGCTGAGGAAGACATACTCAGGGCAACTGTGTTAGACATGCTCAGGGCTACTGTGTTAGACATGCTCAGGGCTACTGTGTTAGACATGCTCAGGGCTACTGTGTTAGACATGCTCAGGGCTACTGTGTTACACATGCTCGGGGCTACTTTGTTACACATGCTCAGGGCTACTGTGTTACACATGCTCAAGGCTACTATGTTACACACGCTCAGGGCTACTGTGTTACACACGCTCAGGGCTACTGTGTTACGCACGCTCAGGGCTACTGTGTTACACATGCTCAGGGCTACTGTGTAAGACATGCTCAGGGCTGCTGTGTTACACACGCTCAGGGCTACTGTGTTACACACGCTCAGGGCTACTGTGTTACGCACGCTCAGGGCTACTGTGTTACACACGCTCGGGGCTACTGTGTTACACACGCTCGGGGCTACTGTGTTACACACGCTCGGGGCTACTGTGTTACACACGCTCGGGGCTACTGTGTTACACACGCTCAGGGCTACTGTGTTACACACGCTCAGGGCTACTGTGTTACACATGCTCAAGGCTACTATGTTACACACGCTCAGGGCCCCTGTGTTACAAACGCTCAGGGCTTCTGTGTTACACATGCTCAGGGCTACTGTGTTACACATGCTCAGGGCTACTGTGTTACACACGTTCGGGGCTACTGTGTTACACACGCTCAGGGCTACTGTGTTACACACGCTCAGGGCTACTGTGTTACACATGCTCAAGGCTACTATGTTACACACGCTCAGGGCTACTGTGTTACACACGCTCAGGGCTACTGTGTTACTCACGCTCAGGGCTACTGTGTTACACATGCTCAGGGCTACTGTTTTACACATGCTCAGGGCTACTGTGTTACACACGCTCAGGGCTACTATGTTAGACATGCTCAGGGCTACTGTGTTACACATGCTCAGGGCTACTGTGTTAGACATGCTCAGGGCTACTGTGTTAGACATGCTCGGGGCTACTGTGTTACACATGCTCGGGGCTTCTGTGTTAGACATGCTCAGGGCTACTGTGTTACACATGCTCGGGGCTACTGTATTACACATGCTCAGGGCTACTGTGTTAGACATGCTCAGGGCTACTGTGTTACACATGGTCGGGGCTACTGTGTTAGACATGCTCGGGGCTACTGTGTTAGACATGCTCAGGGCTACTGTGTTACACATGCTCGGGGCTACTGTGTTAGACATGCTCAGGGCTACTGTGTTACACATGCTCAGGGCTACTGTGTTACACATGCTCAGGGCTACTGTGTTACACATGCTCGGGGCTACTGTGTTACACATGCTCAACGTTACTGAGGAAGACATACACACTTCTGCTGAGGACGACATACTCAGGGCTGCTGAGGAAGACATACTCAGGGCTGCTGAGGAAGACATACTCAGGGCTGCTGAGGAAGACATGCTCTGGGCTGCTGAGGAAGACATGCACAGGGCTGCTGAGGAAGACATACTCAGGGCTGCTGAGGAAGACATACTCAGGGCAACTGTGTTAGACATGCTCAGGGCTACTGTGTTAGACATGCTCAGGGCTACTGTGTTAGACATGCTCAGGGCTACTGTGTTAGACATGCTCAGGGCTACTGTGTTACACATGCTCGGGGCTACTTTGTTACACATGCTCAGGGCTACTGTGTTACACATGCTCAAGGCTACTATGTTACACACGCTCAGGGCTACTGTGTTACACACGCTCAGGGCTACTGTGTTACACACGCTCAGGGCTACTGTGTTACGCACGCTCAGGGCTACTGTGTTACACATGCTCAGGGCTACTGTGTAAGACATGCTCAGGGCTGCTGTGTTACACACGCTCAGGGCTACTGTGTTACACATGCTCAGGGCTACTGTGTTACGCACGCTCAGGGCTACTGTGTTACACATGCTCAGGGCTACTGTGTAAGACATGCTCAGGGCTGCTGTGTTACACACGCTCAGGGCTACTGTGTTACACACGCTCAGGGCTACTGTGTTACGCACGCTCAGGGCTACTGTGTTACACACGCTCGGGGCTACTGTGTTACACACGCTCGGGGCTACTGTGTTACACACGCTCGGGGCTACTGTGTTACACACGCTCGGGGCTACTGTGTTACACACGCTCAGGGCTACTGTGTTACACACGCTCAGGGCTACTGTGTTACACATGCTCAAGGCTACTATGTTACACACGCTCAGGGCCCCTGTGTTACAAACGCTCAGGGCTACTGTGTTACACATGCTCAGGGCTACTGTGTTACACATGCTCAGGGCTACTGTGTTACACACGTTCGGGGCTACTGTGTTACACACGCTCAGGGCTACTGTGTTACACACGCTCAGGGCTACTGTGTTACACATGCTCAAGGCTACTATGTTACTCACGCTCAGGGCTACTGTGTTACACACGCTCAGGGCTACTGTGTTACGCACGCTCAGGGCTACTGTGTTACACATGCTCAGGGCTACTGTTTTACACATGCTCAGGGCTACTGTGTTACACACGCTCAGGGCTACTATGTTAGACATGCTCAGGGCTACTGTGTTACACATGCTCAGGGCTACTATGTTAGACATGCTCAGGGCTACTGTGTTAGACATGCTCGGGGCTACTGTGTTACACATGCTCGGGGCTTCTGTGTTAGACATGCTCAGGGCTACTGTGTTACACATGCTCGGGGCTACTGTGTTACACATGCTCAGGGCTACTGTGTTAGACATGCTCAGGGCTACTGTGTTACACATGGTCGGGGCTACTGTGTTAGACATGCTCGGGGCTACTGTGTTAGACATGCTCAGGGCTACTGTGTTACACATGCTCGGGGCTACTGTGTTAGACATGCTCAGGGCTACTGTGTTACACATGCTCAGGGCTACTGTGTTACACATGCTCGGGGCTACTGTGTTACACATGCTCAACGTTACTGAGGAAGACATACACACTTCTGCTGAGGACGACATACTCAGGGCTGCTGAGGAAGACATACTCAGGGCTGCTGAGGAAGACATACTCAGGGCTGCTGAGGAAGACATGCTCTGGGCTGCTGAGGAAGACATGCACAGGGCTGCTGAGGAAGACATACTCAGGGCTGCTGAGGAAGACATACTCAGGGCTGCTGAGGAAGACATACTCAGGGCTACTGTGTTAGACATGCTCAGGGCTACTGTGTTAGACATGCTCAGGGCTACTGTGTTAGACATGCTCAGGGCTACTGTGTTAGACATGCTCAGGGCTACTGTGTTACACATGCTCGGGGCTACTTTGTTACACATGCTCAGTGCTACTGTGTTACACATGCTCAGGGCTACTGTGTTACACACGCTCAGTGCTACTATGTTAGACATGCTCAGGGCTACTGTGTTACACATGCTCAGGGCTACTATGTTAGACATGCTCAGGGCTACTGTGTTAGACATGCTCGGGGCTACTGTGTTACACATGCTCGGGGCTACTATGTTAGACATGCTCAGGGCTACTGTGTTACACATGCTCGGGGCTACTATGTTAGACATGCTCAGGGCTACTGTGTTAGACATGCTCGGGGCTACTGTGTTACACATGCTCGGGGCTACTGTGTTAGACATGCTCAGGGCTACTGTGTTACACATGCTCGGGGCTACTGTGTTACACATGCTCGGGGCTACTGTGTTAGACATGCTCAGGGCTACTGTGTTACACATGCTCGGGGCTACTGTGTTACACATGCTCAGGGCTACTGTGTTAGACATGCTCAGGGCTACTGTGTTACACATGGTCGGGGCTACTGTGTTACACATGCTCGGGGCTACTGTGTTAGACATGCTCAGGGCTACTGTGTTACACATGCTCAGGGCTACTGTGTTACACATGCTCGGGGCTACTGTGTTACACATGCTCAACGTTACTGAGGAAGACATACACACTTCTGCTGAGGAAGACATACTCAGGGCTGCTGAGGAAGACATGCTCAGGGCTGCTGAGGAAGACATCCTAAGGGTTACTCAGTAAGACAGTCAGAGAACTACTGAGGAAGACATACAGAGGACTATGGCTTAAGGCATCATGAGGGAGACAGTGTGAATCCTCCTGAACACTAAGTAAGCTTCAGGCGTGCCTGACTTAATACTATTATAAAGAGAGAAATTACACCAGTAATTAGTTTATAAACTAATTATACAAGGTCATTAATAAAAGATAATTTCCCGTATTATAACCAGTTCTCCAGTGTAGGAGAACTTCCTTACCATCTTCAGGGGCAGTATTAGCAAGAGGGGTAAAACACGAACGGCCAGTCACTGGCGGAGCCCAGGAGCTTAAGCGTAAATACATATACAGGAGTAAATACGAGCAATTTCATTAATTCAGATATTTACTATAACTTGTCATTAATATGCATGCACATATTGTAGCATTATTAGGGAAGCTTCAATATATATGTAAATTGTAAACAATGGCGCCGTAGAGGGCCGCAGGTTAACCCTCCGCCAGGCTCTGGAGTCAATACTAACATAAAGTTGACAAATACTACAATTAATAACTATTTGTGGTGTAGCGGTGTTAATCTGAGGCCCCGAGTGCTGCTTTCTCCATCATGCAATCTAATTTGTTTCATTGATATGTACTCGGGGAGGTATACCCCGGCTGCGCCCAGGTCTCTCTTCCCCACTCATACTTTCTCCAAATCTCCCCCGTCTTTCCTCCCATATCCCGCCTCTCTCTATATCTCCCTTCTCCTCCCCCTCACCAACAGTCTTCCCTAAGATGCTCCCTCTCCCCATTTCATCTCTCTCCAAATCTTCGCTCTTTCTCACCCTCTCCACCTTGCTCTCCAACATCCCTCTCTTCCCTCCCCTCCCTGTCACACCTCTCCCATCCCCTCTGCACCCACTCTCCCAATATCCCCCTGACTGCTCACTCCTTATCCCCCTCTCATCTTCTTCCCATTCCACCTGTCTTCCCTCTCTACCTCTCTCCCTCCTCTCTTCAAGCACCTCCTTCTCCAACTAGCCCCCCTGGCTAGCACACTCCTACAGTGAAGTCTTCCAGCGCTCAAATAGCCCCCTGGCTAGCACACTCCAACAGCGAAGTCTTCCAGCGCTCAAATAGCCCCCTGGCTAGCACACTCCAACAGTGAAGTCTTCCAGCGCTCAAATAGCCCCCTGGCTAGCACACTCCAACAGTGAAGTCTTCCAGCGCTCAAATAGCCCCCTGGCTAGCACACTCCAACAGCGAAGTCTTCCAGCGCTCAACTAGCCCCCCTGGCTAGCACACTCCAACAGTGAAGTCTTCCAGCGCTCAACTAGGCCCCCTGGCTAGCACACTCCAACAGTGAAGTCTTCCAGCGCTCAACCAGCCCCCCTGGCTAGTACACTCCAACAGTGAAGTCTTCCAGCGCTCAACTAGCCCCCCTGGCTAGCACACTCCAACAGTGAAGTCTTCCAGCGCTCAACCAGCCCCCCTGGCTAGCACACTCCAACAGTGAAGTCTTCCAGCGCTCAACTAGCCCCCCTGGCTAGCACACTCCAACAGTGAAGTCTTCCAGTGCTCAACCAGCCCCCCTGGCTAGCACATTCCAACAGTGAAGTCTTCCAGCGCTCAACTAGCCCCCCTGGCTAGCACACTCCAACAGTGAAGTCTTCCAGCGCTCAACCAGCCCCCCTGGCTAGTACACTCCAACAGTGAAGTCTTCCAGCGCTCAACTAGCCCCCCTGGCTAGCACACTCCAACAGTGAAGTCTTCCAGCGCTCAACTAGCCCCACTGGCTAGCACACTCCAACAGTGAAGTCTTCCAGCGCTCAACTAGCCCCACTGGCTAGCACACTCCAACAGTGAAGTCTTCCAGCGCTCAACCAGCCCCCCTGGCTAGCACACTCCAACAGTGAAGTCTTCCAGCGCTCAACCAGCCCCCCTGGCTAGCACACTCCAACAGTGAAGTCTTCCAGCGCTCAACTAGCCCCACTGGCTAGCACACTCCAACAGTGAAGTCTTCCAGCGCTCAACCAGCCCCCCTGGCTAGCACACTCCAACAGTGAAGTCTTCCAGCGCTCAACTTGCCCCACTGGCTAGCACACTCCAACAGTGAATTCTTCCAGCGCTCAACCAGCCCCCCTGGCTAGCACACTCCAACAGTGAAGTCCTCAGTGATCCTCTAGCCTTGAGGACGTCTCACGGTCGACCAAAGAACTTGTTCCCTGCCTCTGCTTCACTGCGCCGGTCACCAGTACCTCGTCACCTCCCAGCACAGTAGACTAGAAGATGGGAAACTGATATTAATGGGAGGGTTAAGTATTATAGTTCGGCACCTGGGTCATAGATGGCGCCGAGGTCCATCACACTGTGCCTCCATCACTGTGCCTCCATCACTGTGCCTCCATCACTGTGCCCCCATCACTGTGCCCCCATCACTGTGCCGCCATCACTGTGCCCCCATCACTGTGCCCCCATCACTGTGCCTCCATCACTGTGCCCCCATCACTGTGCCCCCATCACTGTGCCCCCATCACTGTGCCCCCATCACTGTGCCCCCATCACTGTGCCGCCA